GTCCGCCCACCCCTGTAACCTGTCTAGGTCCAATTGCAGCCTATTCCTCCCATCTAGTGTGCCCACATCCCCCCACCTTAGCCTCATCAGCAAATCTGAACAGGTGCTTTTTACCCCCTCGTCCAAGTCACTGATGAAGATGTTGAACAGTGCAGGCCTGAGGACCGAGCCCTGGGGGACCCCACTGCCCACATCCCTCCAGGTCGAACACGACCCGTCCACCACCGCTCTCTGGGTGCGGCCCTCCAGCCAGCTGGCGACACATTTGACTGTGCGGGTGTCGACACCACAGCCCCCAGTTTCTTAATGAGAACGGGGTGAGAGACAGTGTCGAAGGCCTTCCGAAAGTCCAGGAAGACGATGTCCACTGCTATCCCTGCGTCTAAGGATTTGGTGACCTGGTCGTAGAAGACCACCAGGTTGGTCTGACAGGACCTGCTGCTAATGAACCCGTGTTGGTTGCCCCTGAGCATAATCTCCCCCCCTGGCCCCTCGTGGACATGTGCCAGGATAACTCTCTCAAAAAGCTTCCCCAGGACCGAGGTAAGACTGACTGGCCTTACCTCGGTCAGTCCTCACCTGTCTTAGCAAGCTTTCCAGGAGTCAATGCTGAAGCCCAGTGAAATCAATAGGAATCTTGCCACTCATTTCCATGAAGCCTGGACCACATCTTCAATAAGGAAAGGATAATATAGCCTTAGCACTAGGGAGGCCTTGGCCATCTACATCCAGCCACAGAAATAAATGTGGGCTCAGGATGGCAGCACAAACTTGCTCTAGGCACCCCTTGATTCCTACCTAAACAGATGTTCACATGGGTAGTGTGAATTGGAGCTAGACCCCTGTGGGGATACCTGATAGCCTGCAGCAAACCACGTGTTGGCAAGATCTGAACTGATGTCTTAAGAGTCAAAGGCATCTCACCATATAACAGGGTGCTTAGAGCCTGCTTATTAGAGTCCTGCTGCCTGCAAGAGAGTGCAAGCTATAAAAAGGCGACAAGGAGCTGTTAATTAAATAGTAACCGATCATCTAGGCTTAGCTCTGTTCATCTGTGTGTCATTTATGTGCTCAAGTTTCAGTTTAGACATAATTTTCTCACCTCCCCTTGCCCCAGCCTTTTGGCTTTGAGAGACGATAGCTCGTGGAAAGTAATCTGAAGGCAGCATAAAAATACCTTCTCAGTGGAGATTAAGCATTGTTCCTTTTGCAAGGCACTGCTTTGGATCAGCAGTGATCCTATTCATAACGGAGCCCAAGTTGTCAGCCCGGGTGCTATTTTCTTCTTCCAGGAAAGCACACTGCCCCGGTTTTAGATAAGAGCACTAATTAAAGGCCTTGGTCAAGATGCAGAGCAACTTTAGCTACCACCGAAGCCAGAGAAACTCAAGTTGCTCTACATCTCCAGGAGAGTCAGGCTTATACAGCCAGGAGACACCAGCCAGGTCAATATATTTAACAGGAAAAATGTGCAGTCCTATTTTGTAGCAACTGGCACTGGGGGAAAGGGGTTTTCTACATCGCTGCATGCTAGCTTACAGACATTTCTCCTGACCCTTAATGGAGTCCTAAATTCAGGGCAAACTAACTATAGTAATTTAGGCAGAGATCTATTTTGGGCACTCCAATCACCCGTGCCTGGCAGAAGAAACAGTTGCAGCAATGCAAAACCCAAGCCTTGACTAACAAAGACCTGGTTTATCCCCACTGTAAGCAGGAGCTAACTATATCAGTAAAAAATTTTTGCAAGGAGCCTGGCCATTGATTAGTGGAATTTAGGGAAAATCCCAGATTAGACAGATCCCTCATTAAGACACTTCTCAGTTATCCATATGGATTTTGCATGGAGGGCTGCTTTCTAGCAGGCCCTCCCCTTCCAAGTGACAGGACATAATAGCATTGCTGGACCTTTTAGCAGCACCCTCCATCCAAAGACCTCAAAGTGCTCTACAAATAATAGCTTGATCTCATAATGCTCCTGTCAAGGAGGAGACACACTCTCCACTCTTCAGGGGCAGAGAGCTTGATGGGCCTGGTATTAAGCACATGCAGGTTTGGGCTATATTTCATAGACATTTGGGCTGGAAGGGACCCCGGAGGATCATTGGGTGCAGCCCCTGCCCCAGGGGCAGGAAGTCAGCAGGGATCATAGGATCCCAGCAAGATAAGCATCCAAATGTGTCTTGAAGGCGTTCAAAGTGGGTGCTTGAACCACCTCCGGCAGCAGTCTATTCCAGCCCTTTGGGGATATTGCCTTCAGCTAGTCTGTTAAGGATGGCCTCTTTCATAATCTTTTCCAAGACCTTCCCCAGGATAGAGGTCAGGCTGATGGGCCTGTAGTTTGCCGGATCTACTTTCCTCCCTCTACTTTCCTCCTCCAAATTCATAATATGAATTACCATATCCAAGGTTGCTACTGAGCATCGCCTGTTTAACACTGCTAACAGGCTTATATGTGGAAATCGTGCATGCCTGGAGGAGACCAAGCTCATGGCCTTGTGTTTGTCCACCAAACCTAACTCACAAGAGACTGATTCAAATTGCAGAGGCTTACGGGCAGATCATGCAGGATTGCCTTTTAACGCATCTGGAAATACCACTTGTGCAAACAGTCACGCAGTTGCAGCACAAGAAAGGCCAAAAATGTGGCGTGTACAAAAGCTGGTGGTAAATGGGACACAGATACTTCAGAGTCACTTGTCTTTATTCTAGGGTTGGAGTGGCCTGGACACACAACATGAAGCCTTACATGGCATCCCACTCCAGAGAAGTTATTCTTTGGAAAGAAAGGAGTTACTATATACCAGGGGTGCTCACAGCCCAGATTTATGGGGATCCCCCATGGGCAATGGCTCTGTGTGCTAGATTGGGCACACAGGGTGGCACAGGACCTAATCCTGGTACACAGGAGCTGGGCAGGAGTGGTGTGGGGTCCCTGGGGCCCAATCCCAGTTGGGCAGGGGCAGCGCAAAGTCCCGGGAGCTGATCTTGGCTCCATTCTTGTGGTTTCTTGTGGAAAAATGTGAGCACTATTGCTATACACCCAGACAATTAGCAACACTGTACTGGTCCTGTGTGTGCTCTGGGCCAGTTTCATAGCAGGGTGGTGGCTAGTTCAAAGCAAACCGACTCTCCCACCACCTAATGACTGGGCTGTATAGTGGTGCACCCAGCAGACAACTAGCTCAGGAGAACTGCGCATGTGTATTGCTTCTTACTGTGGAATAAACTAGTTACAGAGTAAAATCCAGGGTAAATGGCTCCAGTAATTGTGTCATGTGTTCACATCTGTGTCATCAACCCAGACCCAAAGCCACCCTCAGTGCAGAATTGCAAGCAAAGGAGGTGACCTGGTGCCAGGGGTTACCTACCCTGGTCACGAAAAATTTCCTCGCAATGAACTGCTTGACATGAGGCCTTGGGTAAGAAGCAGATGTGGCAGATGTAGAAGGGTCCTTCACATCGGTAGCCAACCTGGGCTCAGGAATGTCCCCACCATGTTTCTCTTCCAGTTCTTCTGTCTCGAACTCCTGGTTGTTTTCATCCTCTGACATGTCAACAGCCTGGAAAAAAATCTGCAAGCAAAACAAACTTTTGAAAAGTCACCAAAATGTTTGATCGGATCCTTTAGATGAATGCTAAATGAAATGCAAGTGTGTGCCAGGCATCCAAACTTGGCAAAAACAAACGCATACTTAAACCCACTATTGTTCTCTGTGCTTTGGGCCTTCCAAACACCATTCCGCTCCGCTTGTTAATGGCACAGACGTGATAGGACGCGATAGCATCGCTGGACCCTTTAGCAGCACTCTCCATGCAAAGATCTCAAAGTGCTCTACAAATAATAGCTCAGTCTCACATGGTTTCCTTTGAGAAGGAGATATGTTTCCCCCTCTATAAGGGTGGAGAGCTTGACTAACCTGGGCAGCACTCCCCAGGAGTGCTATAAAAGCATTGGAGAACAGGAGTAGAAGTTCCTCAGTCTCAGTCCTGTGCACCTAGGTCCACTACACACCTTCCTTCCTCTCCAGACACACCTCCAAGCATTAACCAGCAGTCCTTAAGGGTTATAACTTGGGACCTGATCCCAAGGCAATTTGAGGATGCCCTGCCCGACACAACCAAGCCTTGATGGTGAAGTTCAGCAGAAAGGAAATTGCAGCTTTTCTCCCATGTGCCTGATTCTTGAATTATATGAAGCCCAGGGACTTCTCCTGGGGGAACTCAACCAGTCCAAGAAAGGATAAAGTTGGAAGCAAGTAATGATAACAGCTCAGGATATTCAGCTGAAGTCTTTCAGGGGGTTGGTTTATGGCTGAATAGAGAGGGCTGGCCAAAAAGTGTGCTGGCTCTTCTCTTTGGCAAGGGGCTGTTTACTCCTGGAGGACGTGGTGACAATTACTACACAATGGGCTTATCTATACGTGGTGCTTTTAAGCAGGATTAGCCTAAAATTGCCGTTTTTAAGGCACAGTAAGGGCGTGTCCACATGTGAGTGCCCTTAATGCACCTTAAAAATGGTGATTTTAGGCTAATCCCACCTAAATTTGGTACTTGCTTAAAGCAGATGTGGCAGATGGTACTTAAAGCAAGTACCAAATTTAGGCTGGCATAGCTAAGCCACTAAGTCAATGGACACACACTGCATTAATGAGCATTAGCATGGCTGCACGTGGGCTAATGCAGCTTAGTTATGCCAGCCTAAGCTTAATACACCTGAATGCACATTAGCATGTCTATGTGTAGACACACACGGAAATCAACTTGACGCACCTTAAACACAGGTGCATTGAGTTTAGGCGCACGTAACCACGCATGTAGACACAGCCAATGTTGATCAGGTGTGTTGGCAAGAGGCCTTGAATGCAATTCATCCACAAAAAGACGGCTGAGAAATGGCTTGCTTACGGTTTCTAAGCACTGCCACATGGAGAAAATACCAGGTGCTAGGACGGCTCTTGAATCTAAACTGAGAAAGGTAGAGCAAGAACCAGGGGCTGGAAGCCTATTTGCTTTTCCTATCTAAACTAAAGCCCACATATTCAGGGATGCGGGTGACTACCCGCTGGACTACACAACAAAGCTTGTCCTTCTCTTCTGGGCTTCAGAACAAGACTGGACGCTCTTCTGGCCAAGACGCTTTAGCCAGATGCAAGCTGCCCAGTGAAATACAGAGGGAACAGGTGGAGACCTCTGCCCTGTGTTACTCAAGAGGTGAAACCAGATGGTCGCACAGACCCGCTTGGCTTTAAAAATCTATCAATCCTTGTGCAGCCCAAAAAGCTAATCCCTGGATCCTGAGCACTTGATTTGTCCTTGGCTTTCTGTTAACCCTTGCTCTGCCTCTGAGGTCCCCTCTCAGTACAAGGACATTCCTGACTTCCTGATTGGGCTGCAGCTCATGCCCCGCGTGCAAACAAAGCACTCCCTGGTGCCTAGGGAACGGAGCGAAGTGTCCCAGCCTCCCCTGTGCATGCTAACCCACACAGAGGGACAGCCAGGTATGCTAACTCAGCTGGTTAACCTCAGGGAGGGGATGGGAGAGAGCAGCAGTGGCACTAAACTCCATTTATTCAACACCAGGTTTACCCCTAATGGATTTAACTCATCTGAACCCACACTGGCGAGTCCTCAGCACTACTTGAACCTGAGTTGGCCATGTTTTGCAGTGCACTCATCCCTGCAGATAGAGCAAGCAGGATTTTCTCTCCCTGCCAAGTCCTGCTGCTTCAATGGCTTATTGTGGCAATGCTGTGAATCCCTTGGCATGAAAGATGGGGAAGAAATAGTCCCTACACCACTCACTCCCTAAGCTGCGAAGCCATGGGCAGTGGGGAAGGGGTGCATGTGGGGCAGGGATCCCCAGCTGGCAGACTCATAGCCAACACTGCTCTGGACCTATACCAGGAGCAGATCCAGCCCTTTCAGCCAGAGGATCAGGGAGCGAGTTTGCAGAGTCCTCTGTTGCACATCAACTTACATAGTTCAAACCAAAAGCTTGCTTAAAAATTGTTCTCCAACTATTTAAGTTGGTCGAATAAAAGATATTGGATTGACCCAAAGAACCTCATCTGCCTGTGTCCTTAAGCCAACATGGCTACAACCTACACCCCCCATTGCACATCATGCATTTGTATTTCAAACTGCCCCAGTACCAAGATGAGGCCTCTGAAACGACGACAAGCTGAACAAAGGCAGACAACAGGAGCATCGCCGGGTTCACTGCAGAACCTGGGCTTCTCTTACAGTGGATTGCAATGCCCACATTACTGATGCTGTCCATTTTCTAATAGACTGGCAACACCTCAATGCGGTAGGGAGTGTAATGCCTCCCTGCAGACCAGCTCTCCCCTAGGTGGGACCCCCAAATCTCTGTTTTCCAGCCTGCGATGCAAATTTGCAGAAGAGGAGCATCCCCCGCCAGAGTCGTGTCCTAATACACATCATCTCAGGCACGAGAGACTTCTCTGGCAGTCGGAGCAAACGTGAGGCCCCATCCTTGCCGCTCCAGCTATGAACACACACGGATGACGTTGTCTCTGTCGCGGCTCCTGTGCCATCTGCACCCTTTCCTTGTGTTCGCTTCAAAGGAGGCCCGGTGCTTCACGCACTCTTTGCACAAAATCCCAGGGAACTTCTAACCTCAAAATTAAGCAAAACAAAGTCCTTTGAATACTTTGCAATTAACCCGAGGTCGACACAAACATCTTCCTTACAGCCTTTCCAGCTAGCTGAACCGCCCACGTTCTTCTCCGCTCCCTAGCCGGCTGGCCTTCTGCATTGTCAGAGAACTGAGCAACCCTTTTCCTGGAAAGTGCTTTGTATTGAAATCACAGAGGCCTTTGCTGCTAAGGTCAGCTACACAAAGCTGCACTGAATTGTGCAATTTAGCTGTAAGGATCAGGGAACACCAGCACCAGCACAGATCAAAGGAAGATATCAAAGAGGAGACAGTGCAGCCGGTCTCTCCGAGGCAGCTGTGCCCTGCTACAAGCAAAGTGGGGCGGCTAATGATGCTGGAAACCTGGGCTACATTTTGCTCTCAGTGCAATTTAAAATAAAACCAGTGCTGTCCTGCCAACCACTTCCAACCCCAAGGATATTAGTCACAAGAGCAAGCGCGGTGTGAAACCAAAGCCAAGGAGGTTGTAATGAGCTACACAAGGCCGGCATGCTCGGAGGTGGCATTGCTGGAAAGGTGACCTAATCACTAGGTGTGGGTCTAAGGGGTGTGAGGGCCTTCCCCGCTCCTCTTCCTCCATCTCACTGCTGACAGGTATGTGCATGGGGCAATTTTATTTAGTCACAGGGGAACAAAATCCCTAATGGTGATGACAGGCCATAACCTGCAGTGGTTGCAGCTATGTGCATGCCACCGAGGGCAAACTGCAAAGGCACCAAACCGGGCCAATACACGGGACATCATGCAGCTGGAAAGCAGCTAGCACATTGGAAACAATGCATTTCTCCCTCTCACTGCCTACCTCTGGCTATCAGGCAGGTAAGACAGGTCATAACACCAACACCTGCACTGGTTAGATGGGAAGGTAGGAAGCACTCTCCATGATCTCCACCAGCGGACACATGGCGCACGTGAATATAACCTTTGTCCCATCCCCAAATGCCTTGACGCTGCTGCTCATCGGTGGATCTCAGGCCACATAATACAGGTTAATGACGGTTCAGCATGCCCCTGATAACAAGACGCTGTTCTCTCCCCCTTGCAGAGGGGGACAAGAAGGCCGTGACTGCCCTGAGCCAAGGCAGTGGCACAGCTGGGAACAGAAAGCCGCATGTACTAGGTCTTAGTCCCTTGCCCTAAATCCTACACAAACCTTTTTCTCTAAGGCTTAACTGACTGTTTCTACAACTGCCTACAACAACCAGGGCAGCCTAGGGTGGTTGGGGAAAGAGCCAGGAACCCAGGAGTCAGCTTGCCCCTAAATCAGTGTGGACTTGAAGTAATCTTATGTGCACTGTGTTTAGGGATGGAAGGGTGAAATTTTGAAGTAGTTGGGGCACGTGACTGGTGAGGAGAGGCTGAGGGATTTGGACTGATTGAGTCTGGAGAAGAGAAGACCGAGGGGGATTGAATAGCAGCCTTCACCTCCC